TCCTCCTCCTCCTCCTCCTCCTCCTCAGCCCCCCTTTTCAGACTTTTTCCATATCAACACAAACCTCTCTTTACTTTTCTCCCTCGACCTCCTCACCCCCCTCCCCTTAAACATTTGTTAAAATCCCCAGATCAGTTTAAAAAATCAGAATTGTTCCAAAGTTGTATCATGAGATTAAAAACTACAGTATAACACAGATAGGTCGAACACAGAAGACTCGAAATCACGCACCCGTCGAACTTTTCTTCTTAATCTTCGTAAGATATCCCTCGAACTACAGATCCCCCGAACTGCAGATCCCTCAAACTTCTGAGGTCAGTCTCGACAAATTCGAGCTATCCGTGTTATGGTGTTATATCATGTTAGTTCCCCGTATACAGCACGCCAATTTCGCAGGTAAACGGTATCCCTCGTTTGTGTACTGTATAGTCACAACATTAATCCTACGCCCCAGAAAATCTACATGATCTAGGAATCTATAATTAAACTGCATATTATTAAAATTTATTTCACTTTCAGTAAAAGTTTTACTCAGTTTCGTGTTTATTTTATACGAATAGGCTAAACAGGAGCGGGGTTGAAGGGACGTTTGTGATGCTCAAAGATAATTATTGGATGGCAAAACTGGCCGAGTACAAATGTGGAATAGGTCTAGCCTTCTGTCTTCTAACACTTGAACCAAAAATAGAGAATCTTTGGCTGTACCAGATAACAGTAAAAGTGTCTCTTATGGATTGCCAATTGAACATTCAGCATAATATTTTATTAAAAAAATAATTACAAATCGATATTTATATTCCCATAAAAGCCCAGATTTCTAGTTTATTTTGCAGAAAGCGATAACAGGAAGTCACAATCGAGATGGGTGTCTTCGCAAACAAGTTCCTCGTCTGCTTTGCCCTCATCGCCCTCTGCGCATGCGTCACGGTGGAATCCGCTCGCTCGAAATGGGGATTCGGAAACCTCAAGCGTCTCGCAGACTTCAACTCAGGCTCGAGGAAATCGGTGGACGGGCCAATTGGGGGCATCTTGAACGCGCTCCTTGACATTGTTATGTTTCTGGTGAGTTTTTGTTTGACTTAACAGATTCTAACACGCTTTGAATGTCCTTTATTAAAAAAAATGTTGCTTTATATCTCAAATTTGATACACTTATGTTTAATTTTACAATCTAAAAAAAATCTATACTTGTATTGCTAGCCAAATTGCAGGAGACCTGGACGAAAGCCTCTATAATGGTAAATATTTGTTCAAGTCAGGCATAATTAGTGAGTAGGTCACTCTATTTTATCGATTGCAGAAGGCTTAAAAATGATTGTGTTGGACAGAGTCTGTTTTAAGTCCTTTTAAACACCACAAGGTTCCGTAAAACGTACAACCTGCGAGTTAACTTCTATCTCCGATAGGACAAAGTGGGTTTGTTTTTTGGGGGCAGAGAACCTTGAAACCCTACACAAAAGACAAGTTTAAGAATGCCCCAATACTGGATACACCCACACAGCACTCTAGTACGATACCAACTGAGCCTACATTATGCGTGCTCATGTTATGGAGACTTTTGTATGATTATTGTCAATACTATTATTATTGTTATTATTGTTATTATTGTTATTGTTATTGTTATTGTTATTATTATTATTATTATTATTATTATTATTATTATTATTATTATTATAATTATTATTATTATTATTAGTAGTAGTAGTAGTAGTAGTAGT